TCTTTTTTTTTTTTTTTTTTTTTAGGTGCTGTAAATTTAAGCATTAGATATTTGATCATAATTATCATAATGGTACAATAGTGTTGTATTTTTGTACATGCAACTTAGCTAGTATCAGAATACACAACCACTCTTCCCCACATAATGATGTAGCTACAACATCTACCAGTTCTAACAGCATCTAACTGTTCGCGCTAAACAGACAAAGGACTTTTTGGTGATTCACTCATGAGCTTTAATTTTTCAAATGCATTTTGTCTTTTTTCAAGTCATTCGGAATTTCACTGTGCATTTTCTCTGTCACACATTAGAGTTGCATGTGTGTGTGAGTCAGTTTAAAGTGACAAAGTGTGAGATGAGTGTAATGAAGAACACAACTCAATCTGAGCAGCTGAGTCCTTAGCCATCTTCAAGAATCGGCTAAAAACACATCTCTACCATCTTTATTTGACCCTCTAACTCTAGCACTCTCTATTCTAATTCTATAATTTAACAAAAAAAAACTTGCCCTTTTAGACTTGCACTCTATTCATTTACTAACTGCTTGTTTTCTTTAAAAAAAAACACTAACTTCTCTAATCTTTTTGTATTCTATCTATTTGCTTTCTTTTTATTTATTATACAATTAACAAAAGCAAAAAAGGCCTCTAACACTAGCTTGCTCTTTTCTTTTTCTATTCTATCTGTTTTCTTTTCATTTATTATATAATAAAAAAAAAAACTTGCTACGTGTACTGCGTTAAGCTAACTGAGACTTGTTATAGCACTTGTATATCATTGCTCTCTTGTTGATTCTGATTGCTTCCATTGTCTTCATTTGAAGTCGCTTTGAATAAAAGCGTCTGCTAAATTACTAAATGTAATGTAATGTAAATGAAGAGAATGCTAAAATTAGAGTAGAGTGATAAGTGAAGTGTGGCAGAGCTAGAGTATGTAAAGCTGCTGTCTGTGCCGCTGGACAAAAAGGTCACAAAGCCAATGGCTGCTCCTTCCACGTTCTCCGTGACCCAAGTGTGGAACTCAGAGACACGTGAATACACCTCTGGGAAACCTTCTTTGGCGCAGCCCAAACTCGTCCCAAAACTGGTGATCCCAGCCAGGACCCATACAGAACCCTGTTTGCACTGTAACGGACCTCCAGAATCTCCCTACAGAGGGAGGCAGAGAGCAGACAGAGAAACAGGACCAGTGAAAACATCAACAGCAGGGTTTTTTTAAAGGAATAGTTCACACTTTTGGTCTGATCCTGATGCAGTAGCTATCATATGGCTTCAGGAGACTTGTAATATTCAACTAAAGTTAAATGGACTTCTACTTGATTTGTACTTTTTATGGTGCTTTTTGCCATTTTGGAGCTTGACAACCCCAGTACTCATTCACTGCTGTTATATTAAAAATAAAAATATATTGCCACAGAATAAAATATAAAAATGATAACTGTGAATTTTTTTGTCTTAAAATCTGAATTGTAAGATTAAAAACTCAATATTGTGAGAAAAGTCAGAATTGTGAGACTAACACATTTCTGAGTTCATATCTCACAATTTTTTTTTCTTAGAATTCCACATTTATATCTCTCAATTGCAAGCTGACATCTAGCAATTCTGAATTCTTCTCAGAATTTTGAGATAAAACTCGCAACTACCCTTTCATTCTGTGGTGGAAATAAGCTTCCATTGCGCTCACCTGACAGATTCCTTTGTCCGCTCTCCCTGCACAAATCATCAGTGGTGTGATTTTACCACCTGCTGGTTCATACTGGCAGGTACACTGTGAGTTGCCCACAACCGGAATTTCCACCTCCTGAAGAGTCTGCGGGGCCGGCAAAGCTTCTGTCATACACAGAGACACTGAGGGTTTGTGTGTGTCACTGACTCACTAACATGTTTAACCAAAAAAGGAAACATAACACCACTAATGGAAAATCTAACACACTCAGTCTAGCAGATCTCTTAGACACTAATGTGACCACAACAGGCTGTGAGTTTTTCTTCTTCTTTTTAGCATTGTTCGTGTGAAATGGGAACACTATGTATGATAAGACAAAGTAATGTATAACTATAAATAAGAAAATGACCATCCTATTTTGCAACACAGGAAGTAAGCTAGTTTCTGTGAATGTGCAAGATTTCCGATTTATTAGTCACTAGGTGAATAACTAGAAGAATAATAGTACAAACCAGTGTATTTATTATCACGTCAATACATTAAAATAATATGATAAGAAATACCATTTTGCAATATCAAACAACAGAAAGCTGTTTTACAGCTAAAATAACAAGGATGAAACTGGAAACCTTGCATATTCAAGTTACAAATAGCTGCATTTGCTGTTACATTAAAAATAAGGAGGCAGCGCTTCGGCAGAATTCTACTTTACTTAATGAACTTCGGAGCCACGGAATATGGTACAACTGTGAATCATGCGTATCAGCATGACTTCACGACAGTATTACTACAACAGATAATAACAATGAAGAACTGTGTCAACAGTGTCACGAACCGCTACTGTGAGGAGCACGGAGCGAGGATCGAGGAGACATGGAGTAAACTTCAAACGAACAGACTTTAATAAACATCCAAGGAACCAGGAACACACAAGTAGCGGGAAAAGACGAACATTCAATACCAGACCAAGAAACTAAGAACAGGACGAACTATAAATACACTTGACTTGACGATGGGATGACGAGACACACCTGAAACTAATGAAACAATTAGCATTGGAAAACTAGGTCAGGGCAGGCACATGGAGAGGGAAAAACACACAGATATAGTCCAGGGGCGTGACATATCGCCCCCCCCCCCTCCCGGAAGGCGCGTCGACGATGGAGGGAGGAGCCAGGGAGGCGACAGGAAGGAGCAGGAGGGGCCAAGCAGGACCCAGGCCATAGCCATGATGGCGGCCCATGGTGGAGCCGACGGAGGGAGGAGCCATGGAGGAGGAATGGCTGCCAACTCCAGGGGGCCGACCAACAGAGGCAGAGCAGGTGGCAGAGGTGCCCGAGGCGGAGACGGAGAGCCGATGAGCCAGGGCGACGGGGAGGATCCGGAGGGCCAAGGCGGTGCAGATGGTGCCGGCGACTGATGCAGAGGCGTGGATCCGAAATGCCGTGGTGGAAGGAATGGAGGAGCCTGACGGAGCCGGAGGGACGAAGGGACGAGGCGCAGCTAGAGGAGTGGAATCCCGAGGCGCAGGATGGTCGACACCAGACCAAGGCGGAGCCGAAGGGACGAGGGAGCCCGGTGGAGCTAGTGGACTGCCAGGCCACGGCGGAGAGGAGGGA